TTCAGGGTTGACCTTGGTGAACTCTGTGAAAGGCCCTGCATCAAGAACTTCCCACATTTCATCATGGAGTGCGCAGAGGTGAGCTTTCATGCGGATCCTCCAGTCATCAAACTTTGTTACTGAGAACATAAGATTCTTTGAAAGAGTGTTATCCATAATATGAGATTAAAGAGGCTAAAACAATTGGATCTCTTGTTTAGTAAGTAACCTAAAAGATTACAAGAACAAGGAGGCTCTGATACCACTTGTTGGTCCCGTTTGTAATGGAAACAGTCTAGAGGGGGGTGAACAGACTGTTTAGGAATTTAAACTTTTCTGTAAGTCAAGTCTGACTTATCAGAGATGGTCCAAATCTGGTGACTGAGATAGTCAAGTTCTGATGGCAGAACTAGGCCAGGCAGCGGATAAGTTTCTGTCCGGGTAGCCTCTAGAAGAAAGCTAAGGCAAAATGCCTTTCTGATAACTCTGAAGGAAAATCTGCTGGACACAGAGTCCAACCTTAAGAGTTAGTCAGTAGAATCTTAAGTGCAGGAATTAAAAGCTTAAAGTAAATGACACCGGGGTTTTTATAGTGGTTCAAGGAACAACTTGTTCCTCTAGTCCACTGTTCCACAAAGCTTGCAAAAACAACAGTTTACAACGCCTTAGTCCCTAGAGCTTAAGAAGCACTCCTCGTCTTCTTCAAGTCTAGTTGCCACCCGGGATGCAGTCCTGCTTCCTGATGGCTGGTCTCGTTTCACTGAGTCTCTTGAAGTATCCCCACTTCACTTACTCCAGCTAGTTTGAGACGTCCCTTCTTTTTCAAGAAGTGTTTGATATAAAGTCAGTTTTCTCCAACGTTGCTTCTTCACAAAGGATGAGTATATGAAGCTTTCGAAGAGTTGAAGAACTGAGTAACTTTGCAGATTCCTAGTTGGATGAAGGATAGGAAAGTATATCTTCCAACTGGAGCCTTTTCTTGTCTAAGAATAAAGTTTGAATCTCAAGAAGGTTGTTTACGCAAAATTATTCTCTTAGTTCTTCAGAGTGTATCTTATATACTGGGAGCAGTCTTCCCGTTGGAGTGTAGAAGACAGCTTCATTAATTGCATGTACTGTTGACTTGACCGGTTGATCCTTCGACTTGCTATTTTGGGGGCGTAAAGATACTCGCATGGTCAATCATCAGCTTTAAATATCTCTTCGTACGTACAACATTAAATGTGCATTTAATGCGTGTACAGTACCATGTTTCCGTTGAAAGGTTCATAACCGTTAGGGGATTTCCCGTTAGTTTAACGACCGTTGGAAAGGCTTCCGGAATCTGGTGGGTTTAGCAGAGTCTTAAGAGGTTCTCTGGTCCAATCTCTGAAGTCTGTGTCTGTTGCCAACTCTGGTATCTTTCTGATGACCAGTTTCTGATGGCTTCTCTGGTGAGCAACTCTGGGAGCAACTCTGGTAGAGGCAAGATGGAACTCTGGCAGACAGACTAAGCTAAAACTTACAAAAGAAATTCTAATACACAATTTCTAATGGGGTACTTTCAAATTCTAATTAACCTAGCATCATCAAAATCTAAATACATTTATTCCTTACACCTAGCAGCCTCATTTAGCTTTTTGATCCAATCGGCAGCCACCGATATATCGCCCTTTCCGTCAAATGACTTGCACCCCAAGGCCCTAGCCTCCTTGAGGAATTTGGAGATTCTCACACAGGGGCCTCCCCCCTGTACCCCCTGTGACGCCACGGGGGTGGCCACGGAAGCACCCCGACTCCCCTGACCTGAACCCCCCTGAGAGGCACGCCTAGCTTGGCACCTGAGATCTCTTCTCAGCTTCTCCTTCTGATACCACTCAAACAATTCACCCATCTGAGCGAATTTAGCATCACTCTCATCATCATCACCGTCGGTGTAGGTATCGCCCCCATCGTATGGGCTCTCCTCATGTTCCATCTCGGGAACATACGTAGAGTCATAGTCCTCGGTGTGGGTTTCATGCACCGAGCTAAATGGCCATCGCTCACAGTTTGAGCCCGATTACCTCCACGGCCTCCTCTCGAGCTCCGAGATGCAACCCGACTAGCCCCTATGGACGTCACCGGCGCTTGCCCCCTCGGGTTGTTTCTCGTAGCCATGCGTCTACCCTCCATTTCTCAAAGAAATTCAGAATGAGCCATTAGACTCGTTTCAATGTCAAGTGACGGAATAGTACAAAAGACACCACTTGGTACAACATTATGGCCAGCAAACTGTTAAGGGTACCGTCTTAACAATAAGAGGTCAATAAGTTGGTTTCCAACGGTTCCTTAAGTACAAAAACTTTTGCTCATGGATTTATTCAAAAATATTTGAGGATAACCATATTGAGAGGCTAATTATATAGTTTAGAAAGCGATGGCTCTGATACCATTTAATTGTCACGCCCCGGACCGCATCCATGCCACGTAGACAACCGCCGTACAACTCAATAAGAACAACAACAGTTCATCCCTATCGAGTTATACAAGGCGTCCGATAGATTCTATTGCCAAACCGATTAGTAAACACATACAATCAACATCAATATCATAATCAAACAAATGCGGAAATATAATATGTTTGATAATTAGCCACACATGGCAAACACGAGCACGCAGGCTCCTAACTGTTTTTAGAAGACAAACATTATTCAAATATCCATGAGCAGTTTATAACTTTCAAATAAGAATGGAAGCACGAACCACGTCTCCCTTTTTGATCAACCACCTTAGGCAAAGGTGCAGGCAGTAGGACTCTAGCCTTAACCTGAAAAATGTGAGGCCCCCCGTAGGGGTCAGTACTCCATAGAAGTACTAGTGACAAGCAGGCTATATGAGGAATAACTAATGTTTCACGCACAAGACCCAAAAATAGGGTGATACATATATATAGATGTCTCTCATCCACCCGATGATACATACTGTATATATACTCGTAAAATACTTAACCCGTAGGTTATTTACCTTAATGAGTCTTTTAGAGATAAAGTTCTTACCTGACGTATCTCACTCCTTTCTCGGATACCTAGCTCATAAGTTATGTTCTACATTCATAATATCCTACCGAGTTTCAGGATCATTTACCGTCCTGGGGATGCTCAACCCCAACCGAGTTTCAGGATCATTTACCATCCTGGGGATACTCAACCCCAACCGAGTTTCAGGATCATTTACCATCCCGGGGATACTCAACCCCAACCAAGTTTCAGGATCATTTACTGTCCCGGGGATACTCAACCCCAACCTTATTCCTTACCAAACCCTAACCTGGATATGGCTAACCTTTCATTCCTTTAACTATGGACAATACCTAGCCCTATAGTCATGTAATAATCCTTAACAATCAACGCGGACGATTCTCACCCGAACGCCCCACGTTATACTCATTCAAAACTGACCATTTGGGTGTAAAATCGAATACTCGGTCGAGTACCAACCTATACCCGGTCGGGTATAGAAGGCAACGGCCCTTGGGGCATATTTTCAATACACACCCGATCGGGTACCTACCTATACTCGATCGGTTATAGGAGGCAGTGACCCCCAGTGGCAGTTTTCAGAACATACCCTGTCGGGTATTTGCCAATACCCGGTCGGGTACAACAGTTGATTTGGCGGTCAACGCCCGTTTGACCGCCCAAATGAAGTCCAATTAACGTGAAATTTTACATGCAAGTGCACCTTGACGTCCTTAAGCCAAATATACCTATTTGTTTCCTTGGAACATCATACATATCAATTTATAATGATTTCACTAATCAAACCTATAAATCATGCTTTTCAACTATGTTATATTCCTTAACATGACATAACACATACTTTAATATCATTAATCAATTCATAAAGCATATACTTGATTAATTTAGGTAATCCCATGCCTCACGCAAAAGTTATAAAGCATAAAGCCGTCTTCTCACCTTAGTGAAGCCTTTTAGACATTATACCCTCCCGGTTGAACTCCGGCGAAACTCCGGCGAACTTTGTCTAGCTCCGGCGATTATTCCGGCGACTCTTTCAACTCCGCGAAATCTCTAGGAATACCTTAGGCAATTTCTTAATAAGGTTTCATCATCATAAAACCCACGTTAATAAAAATAACCTCTAAAAGGTTATTTTCCGACGAACCGGTCTCTTTGGCTTTTAAGTCCGTTCTTGGACTTAGAACTACCTTCCAACCCCTCATTCTACACTTCCAAACATGTAGAACAGTCATAGGGTGTGAAATATGATTACATACTCATATAAGATGATTGAAGAACAAGAAATGGGATTAATGGAGTCATTATCTTGTTAATATCAAGTTTTCCTCCCTAACCTCCCCTTTTCTCTTCTCTTTTGCCTTCCTCCTTCCTCCTTGGCTTGGGTCTGTGAATGGTGGATGTTATGGAGTATTTTCATAGCTTCTCTCACCAAGAAAGGTGGTATGGACGAGCTTGATTGAAGGTGGGTGGAGGGAACCTCTCACTTTTATCTTAATAGCACAAATAATGTGGGGAGGGGTCCATGTCCTTAGGTGTTTTGATTCCAAATCAAATTCCTGCCCCCTTTCCATCCCTTGTGCGGCTCCCCTCTCAAATTGCAGGGTTAAAAACGTGGGAGGTCAACCCTTTGTGTCCCCGAGTGTACAATCGGTCCCGAAAGTTGTATTTTCCGGATTGTTTTAATTATTTTTTATTTTATCGGTTTAAATAAAATATCGCACATGCTCTCCATCATTATTGGACTTTATAATGAATATATATTCCTCAAATTTAATTTAGAAGTCTCCGAAATTCCTTTTCGGACTGTTATCTGATAAATTGTCGATAGTGATAATTGGGCCTCGTTTGACCAACCGGTCAACCCTATGCCCTTGGCACGGCCCAATTAGAATATCCACCACCATATACATATTATATAGGCCCAGATGAATATAATATGTGGTCCCGATACTATCGGGCGGCCCCCACTTCGGTGTGGGCCCCACATGAATTTTACTATTCACGTAAAAGAAATGATAAAAATTTACAATCACGTAAAATGCTTTTACTCATTTTTCAGGATTCAATACATATTTTAATAAAGTACAAATACTTGGGGGCGGTGTTACAACCCCTTACCGATCGGGTATTCGGGAGTACTGGGCATTATCAAAGGCCAAACCCAGTCATCTTCTCCAAACACTCTCCCAAATCAACGAAGCCTCTCCCCAAAATCTCCATATCTAAACTTCTGTCTTCCAATACTCCCTCAAAACTTCACCAAATTCCATAAAACAACATCAAACTCCTCCGATCCTCCTCATCACCCATCCCTATAATCCTCAAACTCTCCCCCAAATTAAAAATTCGAAAACCCTCTCACACAACTCTAAATTTTAAAAAACCAACTTTAAGGAGAACGAAGGACACCCAAATGATCAAGGGCAAAAGCTTCATCATCATTGAGACCACAACCTCCAGTCCCAGGCCTTGAAGATGTCACCTTCACGTCACCCAAACTCTAGGCCGGCAAAGTTTTGGCTCAATCTCAATGGAAAGTACACGCATCCTGTTTCTTTTGCCTTGAAACTCTACGTGCTTTGAACCTTTATGACATGCTACTTGGAATTTGTGGATTTCTGAATATGCATAAACTATTTGGCTTGAGCTACAACTCCAACGACCGAATAATAATGTATAAATTCTTGGGCTCAGTAGAGAGAATCAAAGATGATGAAGATGAAAATGAAGACAAACTCACGTCTTATTTAATTAAGAAAGAAAAATCTATAACAAAAGACGAGTTTGCCAAATATGTTGGGTTGCTTTTGAGAGAAAGAGGAAAATATTGATGCTCTATCGTGTATGAGATGTGGAAATAGAGGACAGGGGCCACCGAAATCAGTTCTACCAAATTTTCTATTAACCATGTTTAACATCAGTTTTCTGAAATTTCATAAATTTGTGGGTTGTTTTGTTTGCGGACACCCGAATAATCATCATACTCGGATATGTGATTTGGCTATCCTTGCCATGGCTATTTTTTAGGGGCTCCAAAGTTAGATATAGCCACCTACTTACAGGCTCATTTGATAATGGAGTCAACTGCTCAGGTTGTTATCATGGTTGATGGTATTATAGTGCACATTGCCACAATGTTCGGTTATGTGGATAACCTGCAGTTGTTGAATTTTGTCTATTGGATATATCATCCCTCTCAAATGTAAGGGACATAAGCTTTGCCCATCGCGATTGTAAGGTAAAGGACTATTTTAAATGGCACATCGAGTCGACGCCGACCCGATACTTCACCATTCCCTCAGATGCCCTACCCGTAATCACATTTGATGCTCAATCGGGAAATGGGGGGGGGGGGGGGGGGGGGGGGGGGATTTTGCCTCTCAAGTTCTATTCTAGCTCACTACGCCGCATTAAATGCTCAAGGAGGAGGAGGAGGCATCGTATGTGATTTTGATGTTTACACCTTCATACCTTAAAACATGTTCGGTCTCCACTTCCTAGTCGTAACAAACTTTCTCTTACTGATGGTGAGCTTATTCATGACTCTACGGAGTATAGAAGTATGGTAGGTGCATTGCAATATTTGACTTTGACTCGTCTAGACATTGCTTTTGTCGTCCACCTGCTGTCTCAATTTATGCACGCCCCCCATACTTCGCTTTTTTTGGCTTTTTAAGTGGATTTTCAGGTACCTTGAGGACATATCTACTCATGGCTTAGTGCTTCAATCTTACAAAGGGTCACTAGTTATTTTTGCTTATTCTGATGCTGATTAGATTGGATGTCTTGATAGTGGACGGTTTAATTCTGGCTGTGCAATTTTTCTCGGTCCTCATTTGATTTCCCGGCGGTCCAATAGTAGCCCACTATCTGTAGATCCTCCACAGGAGTTGAATACCGTGTTGTTGCTTTCCCAGTTGAGTACACGCTACACATCCAATCTGTTTTATCCATGTTCTTACCAAGGTGTTTTCTGATAATGCATATGTTTCATATCTCTTAGAGAATCATATTTCGCATGTTCACAATAAACACATAAATATTAATTATCAATTTGTTCGTGAGCGGGTGGCACATGGAAATCTTTAGGTTAAATATGTTCCTACACAGGCTGAGCTGACACATATTTGTACCAAGAGAGCTTGTTTCCACAACGCTTTATTCTTCTTCATGGCAATCTGCACATTGTTCCTCCTGTACAGATTGAGAGGGTGCAATAATATATTTTATTTTTATCTGTAATTGTGGGGACTCATTTTATAATTTTTACTTTAATCCGCTGATTGGGTCACCGTGACTTATTTACAACCTCTTAAATGTCTTGTCAGGTCAAAATGTGGATGGCTCTTAGAGTTGGAGATTCAACCATTTAAAAAATGGTAATGATGGATAATGTACCCGGGAGGTAGCTTATCCGAGGGGTTATTGCGGAGAATAAATAGAGAGAAGTCAGAGCAAGTAAGTAAGAGAGAGAGTGTATATTAGATATGTATTCAGCGTATTTCGCTCCTGGGTTACAAATGGGGAAATGGGGTGCTATTTATAGTAGTAATAAATGCCAGATAGGGACACGTGTCAAGCATCCATTGGCCGAGGGGTCACCTCAACTGGTTGGCGCTGGCAATCGCATGTGGCCGCATTTAATGCGGCTGTTAGATGTGACGTCGTACTTGGTACGGTGATTTCGGCGCATGTGAAGTGGATATTATGTCGAGAAAGGTGCCCTCGGCTGCAGGTGATTAGCCGAGGGCTCTGAGTATCGGGGACCCCCTTAGTGCCGAGGGCTCTAGGTGCCGAAGGCTACTGAATTTCGCCGTTTTCTCCCAGTAACTTTGTGTGCTTGAGCTGGCCGTCCTGTGAGAATTTGGAGCCTTCGACCAGGGGGCCGAAGGCACTCCCAGTGTGCTGCGTGGGTTGCTCAGTACTTGGGGCGATGTATTTTGGGCCTGCTGTGCCCCCTGGGCCTATTGGGCCTTTATCAGAATAGTAGGAGTCTATGGGCCGGGGTTTCCTGGGCCATATACTCCATCAGGAGTCCCTCACTCCTTTTGCCGAAAGGTACTTGAGGGAAAAGGAGTAATCTGTGCTTGTCCTTTTAGTGTTGTTCCGTTGTAGTTTGTGGAGTTTGTGAGTAGTTTGTTGTGTGCATGTTTCAGTCGGGGGCAGTCCCTCAGTTACCCACATTCCGGGACTTGAGGGATCATGCTCGTTGTTTGTGGAAGTTTTTGACATTTTTTCTTATTTTGAGATTTTCCCGAAGGGGTCCTCCAGTCCCCCACTCCTTGAGGCACGTGCAAAGTGGTGAGAAGGAGTAGAATAATGCCTGCCCGCGATATGAAGCCGAGGGGTGACGCTTTTCGTTTCATTTTGGGGGGATGCCTCGTTAAAAACCTCATTGGAAAAAACCCTGTGGGAAAAAATTCCAATGAGGGAAAAAGAGTGCACCGAATTCCCCCAATGATGAGTCGAAAAGCTGAAATCCTGGCTTGGAATGAGTGGCAATATTTTTTGCCGAAGGCTATCTCTATCTGAAGGCGCGTGTGTTGATTTGCCGAAGGGTCCCTGTTGTTATCCTGAGAGATGCCGAAGGGGAGCCCCCAAATTATGAGAATGAGGGCGTGATGAATGTGGGTGATGTTTCCGGTGTTGCCGAGGGGTCCCTCGTTCGTTGGTGAGTGGAGGGTGCCTTTTGATGAAGACGTGCTCCCCCGGGGGCTTCGTGGTCCTCAATGTGTTTGAGGGCCGATGGTTCCCGAGGGGTGTGCCCGTTATGAAGCCGTGGGCTTCTGAAGGAGTAAACCCGAAGGCCTTTGTGATGTAGTATGAGGGGCATAAACCGGGAGCATCTCTGGGTAAGAGTACCCGGGGCTCCTCTTGAAGAAGTGGAGTGAAGTAGAAAGCCCGGGGGCTAGTTTCGTGGTTGATGAAAAGGAGTGGTCTACCAAACATAGCCGGGAGCTCCCAGAATATGGCCGTTGTGAATAGAGCCGTTAGAATTCCTAACGTCAGAAATATAGCCGTTGGGATTTCTAACGTCAGAAATATAGCCGTTGGGAGAGTGCTTCCACGTGGCGCGTACCTACCGGCTGCCTGTGGGCGGATGCTAGTGATTGGGCGAAAAGTCGGCGAGTAATGATGAATTTGCCACCGGAGGCCCGGTTTGCAGGCCCAAGCCCGGATCCGGATGCCTATATATACCCCAAGGCCAGGTTCATTACCCCTGTGCGATTTCATTGTAGCGAAGCTCTACAGAATTTTCTAGAGAGAGAAACTCCAGCCTTCGGCCAAACCCAGCTTCTAGAGGTCAGTTCTTGCTCCGCTTTCGGTCATTCTTGCATACTTCGCTTCCCCTTCACTTCCTGGCCTTAGATTAAGTGCCCGTAGCTTAGAGCTTTTAGAACCTCCCTCCGACCCTCGGTGTAGTACCAAAATGTCCTCACAAAGTGATTCCCAAGACATTTCGAGGGAGCCCTCAGTTGAGACGGAAACATACTCCGACGTCGAGCCTTCGAGCGAGGAGTCTTCGGCGGTTAATGATGCTGCTGTGGCCATGGAGGTGGAGAAGGACCTCAGGGCCGAGGTCGAAGCCGAAGACTTCGAGCAGGTGAACGAGGACAAAGAGCTCGCCCTTGCCGTGCAAACTGCTGAAGAGGAAGAGGAGAAGGAGAGGATGAAGGTGATTGTCGCTATCCTTCCCCCTCGCGGTGCCGGGGAAGCCAACACCTCTCGGCCCTTGAACCCGACGCCCATCAGTGTGGCTCCCGGGAAAAAGAAGAAGACGAGGGCTGCTCCAAAGAAGAAACAAGCGGCCGTGGATGCCGGGCGGTCAGTAGGCATACCCGAGGGCCATTCCTTCCTGAACACCGCTGCCCTAAAGTTGAAGACGAGGGCGTCCCCGGCAGAGTACCAGGCCACTCATATCCTGGTTGGCCCTTCGGCACGTGTGGTGGAGCCAGGGGCAGATGACCTGTTGCGATACGCGCCCGAGGGGTGCTTTGCTGTTCACACCTTGTCAGTGGAGATGGGGCTTCACTTTCCGCTCCACCCCTTTCTGCTGGAGTACTTGAGATTCGTGGGGCTGGCCCCCTGCCAGCTAACGCCCAACAGCCACTCTTATGTGGCCGACTATCTCTCTTTGTGCCGGAGCCGGGGGGTTCCACCTACCCTCGACCAGTTCTTCATGTCCTTCAATTTGTGCGGGGGGGGGGGGGGGGGGGGGCATTCGAACGCTGAGGGCTTTGCCAACCTTCAGCAAGTACCGGAGTTCAGGCTCTTTGACGATGTGCCTTCGTCCCACAAGGGGTGGAAGGAGCGGTTTTTTTACATACGCTTGGAGGAGAACCCCTTTCCGGCTCCGCTCCGCAATAGCTTCCGGCGTCACCCGAAGGTAGGGAGCGCGGCCCTGGAGAAGAATGGCAGAATACTTGTCAAGAAGCCGGAGGGGTCTGATAAGCACGTCAAAATCAAGGACGTCACTCTTCCCGAGGAACTGTTTAATCTTGGCTTCCGGCAGTTTTGGCCGAAGGGCTCATCGGATGAAAGATATCCTCTGCTGGATCGTGTCTTCGAAGGAGCCGGAGGTGATTATCGAAGGGTTATGCGTTTTGTACCTTGATAGTTTTCCTTCGTTTTTTTTACTCTATGCCATTGTAACTGACACCCTTCGGTTTAACCATTCTGTGTCTTGTTTTTGCAGGTAGCAACATGGACGTCAGCTCTCATTTTGCCTTGAAGAATGCCAAGGGGAAAAAGAAGGGCCCGATGGGCACTTCTGCCAGGGAGGAGTCCTCCCAAGCCGCTACTGCCGGTGCTGGCGCCGGGGGGTCCAAAGTTGCTGGGCCCTTGAAGAAAAAGAACAATGGCAAGGGGACCGAGCCCCCGGCCAAGAAGTTGAAAGCCACAGCTCCCGCTAAGCAGCCGACCACTGACGTGGTTGTTATTGTGGACGAGGGGCATGCCTCCGCCCCCACCCCTCAGGAGCACATCAACCAGGAGTTCTTCGAGCGGGAGAAACTGGAGGCGATAGTGCCGAAGGGGGCTTCTGTACTGGAGGGTAGCCTAAACCCGTCGACGCTGATGAGCCAGATGCTACCCTCGGCTGATCGCTTGGCCCTTGCTAGGATGGACGAGGGCTCCCTCGAGGCCAAGATTCTTCTGAACACTGCCTCCGTGAGTCACGCCTTTCTTTTCCCTCTATATTTGTTTTTGCTCTTACGTACTGCGTTTATCATGTCTAACCGTCATCTTTGTGGACTGTAGAGCTTCATGGGCCTCTGTGAGCACCTTCGAAGGGTGGAGCAGATGAAGGAGGCGAAAGGTGCCGCCGAAGGGGAGGCTGCCCTCCTTAGGAAAAGGCTGGTTGAGGCCGAGGATTCTCTCCGCTTGGCCACCAATAGCATGGAGCAGCGGGTGCAAACCGCGAGAGCCGAGGGGAAGAACGAAGGCCTAGCTGAGGCCGGGGAGGCTGCTGCCGAGGCCGCCCGCGCTGCTGCTGAGGAAGCCCGCGTGGCTAAGGAAGAGGCCCTCTCCAGAGCCCAGGAGGATGCGATAGCCGGCTTTACCGCCGAGGGGTGGAAAGCATAAGAACAGAAAGTGTGGCTCTCCTCGGTGGTGGAGGCTTCGGTGGATAACTGGGTTGGAGGCCCCGACAAAATGTGGCTTGCTGAGAAGGGCGACTCCTATTATCAAGGTGGGGAGTTTTTTACCCAGCGCCTTATTTACCGAAAGCTCGCCAGGCACTTCAAGCTCTCGCCGGAGGAGTTCCAGCCCGAGGCTTATGGCCTCCCCCCCTCGGCAACCAGACATCAGGATTCCACTCCCCGAAGGCGAAGAGAGACCAGTGCTAGAAGACTCGGAGACTCTGAGGGAGTGCGGCCTCGGGGGTGACGAGGATGAGGCCGAAGGCGAGGCCACTTCAAAAGCTGCCGAAGGGGGCGACGTTGTAGCTCCCCTCTTATAATTTGTATTCCCAACAATTTTTGTAATCATACTGCTCTACTTTTGGCTTTGGCCCTTATGAACATCCTGCCCCGTGTTTTGGGTGAAATGATGCCTCCGGGCTTTTGTATATAATTCGTTTCCCTTTGATTGTTTTTCTTTGAATGTATGCCTTCGTTTTTTTTATGTATGCCTTCGTTTTTCTTTGTGGATGAATGCATGCTTGTGCGGTACTCTGGCCGGGGGGCAAAATTTTAGGACTTAGAAAATATTTCTCCAAGTATAGTGCATCCCGTAGCCCTCGGCTACTAGGCCCATTTAGTCATCTGAATGTCTCACTGAGGGCCACACGTTCAGGACTTAGAAATCTTTTCTAAGTGTTGTTCATCTGTTGGCCCTCGGCTAATTTCTTCCCTCTGGTTCTGTGCAGCCTTCATGAGATAACCGGAGGCAAGGCGGTTGGGACTTAGAAAATTTCTTCTAAGTGTTTGAATACCGTCTGGCCTTCGGTACGTGGGCACCCCTCGCTGCATGGATATATATCCGAGGGCCCAAAATATTTAGGACTTAGAAAATATTTCTAAGTGTAGTTTCACCAAGCCTTCAACCGTGTGGCCCCTCTGGCTGCATGGAGATTTGACCGAGGGTCAAAAATATTTAGGACTTAGAAAATATTTCTAAGTGTAGTTGTATGGGGTAGGAGCCTTCGGGTGAATGTGAGGGCTTTGTCTCAGGTGTGCCTTCGGTTGACCGGTGACTCGACAGGGGGCAAAGTATTTAGGACTTAGATTATTTTCTCTAAGTGTTGTTTCTGTATCACGCCTTCGGTTTCGTAGCCCCTCTGGTTGCATGAGGATCTGACCGAGGGCCAGGATATTTAGGGCTTAGAAATCTTTCCAAGCGTTGCTTGTCACTTGTCCTTCGGCCTACGCCTTCTTTTAGTTGTATTGAAAAGCTTTGCCCTCGTCGCATGATGGGTTGGCTGAGGGCCAACAATCTAGGGCTTGGGACACTTTCCATATTTCATGGTAGATAGACCCCCCGATTGGTGGTATCTTGAGTAGAAGTTGCCTTCGGTCTTTGTTGATCAGAAGAGCCTTCAGACTCTTTCATGCTTTCAAAGGATGGACTTATGAAATTTCGTAGGACTTTGATGCCGTAGTAGGTGCCGATGGGGACGCAGGTGCCTTCGGCATACTTGAAATATTGTTGAGTGAACCTATCAAATTCTGTATGATTTGAGCCTTGGTTTTGATTTAGTCGGAGGCAATCAAGGAGTGGACTTAGCCATTTGTTGATGATGTTTGTCGAATAACATCTTTGGTAATTAGGAGCTTCCAGATACCGAAGGTGTTCCCATGGGGAGCCCTCGGTATGTTCCCATGAATTTGTTGGAGTGGTGTACTCATTGATTTCTCGCTGAGTCTACTCCCCTTCACCACCACCCCTTTTTTTGGAAGTGAAGGGAAGGCTTCAAGAAACTTGGTTTCTTGGTAAGGCTTGGCCTATCGGGAGGTAACAGAATACACCATTAGCCCCCCCCTCGAGTTAACCTTCCGAGTTCTGAGGGGATCGAGGGTCATTTCCTGGGCACAAGACATGGTCGGTAGCCTGCCTCCCCTTGGGAGATGGCACGGAAAGCGCCTCAGTTTTGAAAGTCTTCCCCTCGGCGCCAGACATAGTCTGTGACCTGCCACACCCTTGGGGTAGTGGTGCGGGGAGCGTTTCGATTTGGAAGTCGAATCCTGGGCATATTAGATGCCTGTCATACCCTTGGGGTAATGGCGCGGAAAGCGTTCCGTTTTTGAAAGTCGAATCCTGGGCATATTACCTGCCTGTCATACCCTTGGGGTAGTGGCGCGGAAAGCGTTTCAGGGAAGGGTTTTCATTTGCACACTGGCTGCAAATGGCCGGGGGCACTACGTGCTACTGGCACCGATAGGTGGCGCCTTCGGTATATGCGTCCTTGAGGGGTACGACTTTAGAAACAACACTTGGTGTTTGTTTCGGTGTACGGCCCCCGGCACTTGGTACCGAGGGGTCTTCTGTAAAAAAACATTTGGTGTTTTTACTCATTTGTCATAGGTGATTGGGGTGTCTACCCTCTGTACTTGGTACCGAGGGGTCTTCTGTGAAAACACTTGGTGTTTTCTTCCGTTTGTTGAAAGTTGACAGTGGTGTATCCCCCCGGCATTGGGTGCCGAGGGGTCTTCATTGAAGACAGTTGGTACTTTCTTCCTTATTGCAGGCGATAGTATTGTCTACCCTCGGCACTTGGTGCAGAGGGTTCTTGCTTGTGATAAGGCCTTGGTCCAAGGGGTGATGTCTTGGCCACTCGTAAGAGTCTTGTTCCATGTTCTTGGTGTCTTCAATATGCCTTCGTTCTTCAAAATTTTTAGGCCTTGGGCCGCAAAATAATACATTCACTAGTTATGAGGGCTTGGCCGCTCTGATGTTATTGATAAAATTTAACTAAGTGATGTACATTCCAGTGTCTAGGGACTTCAGTCCCGTTGGGGCGTTTTAGTTTGTAAGTTCCTGGTTTGATGATGGCCGCCACGATGTAGGGGCCCTCGAACTTTGGTGCCATCTTTCCACCCTCGGTTGGTTGGCTAGCTTCCCTTCTTCGGAGGACATAATCCCCCACTTGGAATTCCCAGGAGCGGACTTTGGCGTCAATGTAACTCTTCACTTGCCTTAGGTAGTTTTCCGCGTGTATGAAGGCTTGCTCTCGGCGTTCTGAAATAAGGTGAAGGTCGAGGACAATATTGGCGTCGTTGACCTCGGGGTCGTACTGTGTGACCCTTCGGGTCGGAAGAGTTACCTCAGTGGGGGCCTTAGCTTCAAATCCGTAGCAAAGGGAGAAGGGTGTCTCGCCTGTTGCTCGCCGTGGGGTGGTACGGTAGGCCCATAAGATGTTGTGGAGCTCTTCTACCCAACCACCCCCTTCGGCCTCCAGTTTCTTCTTTAGGCCCTCGAGCAAGGTCCTGTTGGCGTTCTCCACTTGACCGTTGCCTTGAGGGTAGGCAACGGATGAAAAGGTGTGTTTGATGCCCCACGCCTCTAGGAGGGCGCAGAAGGGGGCTGCCTCAAACTGAGTCCCATTGTCGGAGATGATTTGCTGGGGGATGCCAAACCTTGTGAGGATGTTTTTGAGGACAAAATGACGGCACCTGGCCTCAGTAATGCTGGCGAGGGGCTCAGCTTCCACCCATTTGGTGAAGTAGTCGATGGCGACGATGATGTACCTGTTGTTGGAGGTACCCCTCGACAGAGGGCCCACAAGGTCTATGCCCCATCGAGCGAAGGGTATGGATGTGCTGATGGGGGCATAGTTGACCGCTGGCCTGCCGGGGGCTTTTTGGAAGTGCTGGCATGCGGTACACCTTCGGGTGAGATCTGCACAATCCCGGGCCATCGTAGGCCAAAAGTAGCCTTGGATTATTAGCCTTCGGGACATGGAGAAGGGTCCCTGGTGAGTTGAACAAGTGCCACTGTGTACTTCCTCCATCGCAACTTCGGCTTCATCTTGATGAAGGCACCGAAGTAATGTCCCGTTGTAGGACCTTTTGTAAAGCCTTCCGTCTTCGATAGTGTAGCTGGGAGCCCTCAGCTTTTCCAGCTTGGCGCGGGCCTCATCCTCGGGCAGTTGCCCTGTGGTGATGAAGGCGACAATGTCTGAGATCCAGTCATCCTGCCTTTGTTGTATGTTCATGATGGGGCTAGCATGTATGCTGGAGAGGCTGAGCTCTTCCACTTTGGCAATCTTTGAGATATGCTCAGGGGATTCGGCCGAGAGCTTGGATAAAATGTCGGCCTCGGAGTTTTGAGCCCTCGGTATTTAAGTAAGAGAGTGTGCCTCAAATACCTTAAGCAACTCTTTGGCCGCTTCTTTGTACTGCTTCATCCTTCCATCTTTGGCTTCGTACTCCCCAGAGATTTGGCCGACGACTAACATGGAGTCGCACTTGACGTGAATCTGTCGGGCCTTCATGTTAGCTGCCAGTCGAAGGCCACAGAGGAGGGCCTCGTATTCGGCTTCATTCATGGAGACTTTGAAGGAGAAGCGGACTGCATAATAGGTCCGGAAGCCTTCGGGTGAGACGAGGACCACCCCTCCTCCACATGCCTTGACGGCGGAGGAGCCGTCGGTGTAGAGGGTCCACCAATCATCCGAGGGGGCCGAGGGCTCCTCGTCCGTGGCTGATCTTGCCGTACATTCCGTCACGAAGTCCGCTAGGGCTTGGCCCTTGATGGCGGGCCTAGGACGGATGTCGATGTTGTATTGGCTCAGGAAGACAACCCATTTTACCATTCGGGAGGAGCTGGTGGGGCTCCTCATCAAAGCGCCGAGGGGTTGGTGAGTGAGGACCTGGACCGGGTGAGCCTGGAAGTAATGGCCCAACTTCTGGACAGTCCACACGATAGCCAACACCGTTTTTTCCACAGGGGAATACCGGAGTTCTGCTTCCCTAAGGGTCTTGCTAACATAGAAGATGGCATGTTGGATGTCATCCTCTTCCCGGATGAGTACTGAGCTGATGGCTTCCGGGCTAACACCCATGTAAAGGTATAAGATTTCCCCCACCTTGGGTTTAGAGAGCACAGGGGGTGAAGATAAGTACCGTTTCAGTTCCTCGAAGGCCCCCTGGCACTCTGAAGTCCACTGGAAACTGGCGGTCTTTCTCATGATCCGGAAGAAGGGTAAGGACTTCTCCGCCGATTTTGATAAGAAGCGATTGAGGGCTGCCAGGCGGCCCGTCAATCGTTGGACCTCCTTTACGTTGCGAGGGGGCTCCATGTTGATGATGGCCTGGATCTTCTCGGGGTTGGCCTCGATACCCCTTCGGCTCACCATGTAGCCAAAGAATTTGCCCCCTTGTACGCCGAAGGTACACTTCTTCGGGTTTAGCCGAAGGTTGAACTTCCGCATGATGGCGAAGATTTCCCTCAGGTCGTCAGCATGGCTTGCTGATTGCTTGCTTTTGACGATCATGTCGTCAACATATGCCTCCATGGTGCGCCCTAGGACAGCTTGAAATACCCTGGCCACCATCCGAGTGTAGGTGGCGCCTGAGTTCTTTAGGCCGAAGGCCATGACAAGGTAGCAGAAGATGCCCTCGGGAGTCATGAAGGCTGTTTTTCAGTGTCTTCCTCATGCAAAAATATTTGATGATACCCGCGGAATGCGTCGAGAAATGACATGATTTCACACCCCGCGGTTTCATCTACAAGTTGATCAATATTCGGCAAAAGGAAGGGGTCCATGGGACACGCCTTGTTGAGATCCGTGTAGTCCACGCACATGCGGAATGAGGGCGGTTTTTGTGCGAGGACTACGTTTGCCAGCCATGAAGGTTACTTTACCTCCTTGATGTGCTTGATAGAGAGGAGCATGGCGACCTCCTTCTTCACAAATTCCCTCCTCTCGGCCGAGAGGGGTCTCCTCCGCTGTTGTACTGGTTTGGCCGAAGGGTCCACCGAGAGGCGGTGGGTGATGACCCTTCGGTTGATCCCCGGCATGTCCTCCGGCCCCCATGCAAAAACGATGGAGTAGGCGCGGAGGGCGCTGATGATGCCGGTCTTTAAGTCTTCGGGGAGCTTGGCTCCAATCTTCACGACTCTCTCCGGCTTGGCCGGATCGAGCGCAAAGTCTTCTACCTCCTCGGCTGGTTCAGCCCTCGGCCTCCTTTCTTCCGCTTCCACAGTTCCGGTGATGGTGTCAACACGGAACTCCGTCTTGCTAAACTTCTTCGTCACTTGAAGGTAGCAAGCGCGGGCAAGTTTTTGGTTCCCCCTTGAGTAACCGATTCCCCCCTCGGCTGGGAACTTGAGGCAGAGGTGCCTCATGGAGATGACGGCTTCGAGATCCTCGAGGGCTGCCCGGCCGAGGATGATGTTGTGGGCGCAGTCGATGTTAACGACGACGAACTCCACTTCGAGCTTGGCTCTATGGAGCCCGTCGCCGAAGAGTACCGGGAGGGTTATGACCCCCGGCCCTCGGAATCAATGGTGTCGCCGGTGAAGCCGTCAAGAGGGGTCTGGATGGGCCGAAGAGACCCCCTCTCCAGATGCAGCTCTCTGAAGGTACTGAGGTACATTACATTGACGGAGCTGCCCGTGTCAATGTAAGTTCGGTGAATGATAGTGTCATTGATCTCTGTGCGGATGACGAGGGCATCCCTGTGTGGGGAGGACACTGGGGGGAGATCAGCGTTAGTGAAGGTGATGGGTTCCTCCCTCAGCCGCTTTACTGGGGGCATATGAGTGACTTCCCCCACGTAAAACGATTGAGCCCACTTCTTTCGTTGACTTGTAGAGTCACCCCCGGTATTGCCCCCCGTGATCATGAGGACGTGGCGCTTCTTTTCTTGGTACCGAGGGTACTCTTCTTCCTCTTCTTCCAGGTTCCCAATCTCCCTCTTCTTGCCAAGGGGGATAGTGTTGGGGTTGACCCATGCGTTCGCTCTCGCAGGGTGCCCATACTCCATCAGGTAAGAAAAAAAAGAAGAAAAATGTGAGTTTTTTTCCTGTTAAATAAAAAAGTATTTACGAAATTAGGGTTGAGTTAAACTATTTACCAAAATACTTCTGGATTAAATCAGGGTTGACAAAATCGCCAAACCAATTGGCGACTTTCAAAACTCCAAATGATTTGGTGACTTCCTATCAAAGACACAACCGCATGCAACCTTATGAAATATTGTTAGTGGGGACAAAGTATTTAAAAAACCACTTTTCTTTAAAGTGTTTTAATGTTTTGATTTTTTCTCCAATTTTTACAAAAAATATACTTCGTTATCACAATTCATAATTTTTTACGATCTTTCATTTGACACCATTATCGCATATAGATTTTTTTTTTAAAAAAATGAAGGTTAATTAAACAACTTTCATATTTTCGAACTTCAATACGAATTATTTTGTCACTACAAAAAACATCTCATTTGTCACGGATTTTGTCACGACCGTAGTTCAAAAATCCGTGACAAATGATTTTTGTCACGGACTTTGTCACGGACCAAATCTGTGACACCAGGGGCGTGACAAAGTTGCTGTCACGGGCAACGGTCCGTGAGAGAGTTTGTCATAAAAAGTATAGTTTTCCTTAATTGTGTTGGCGTTCATGTATTTAAAAAAGTTAAAGACAAAAAATGTAAGCCTCCTAAATGTTTCCTGGAATTTATTATATGTCGTTTCTTATATTTTTCATTAACACTTCATGTGAAATTGTCGCTTCAAGTTATAATATCCTCTATATGCAATATTGGTGTCAAATGAAAGATCGTAAAAAATTATGAGTTTTGATATATTTTTGGTAAAAATTAGAGAAAAAATGAAAACATTAAAACACTTTAAAAAAACTGGTTTTTTAAATACTTTGGTCCCACTAACAATATTTGACGTTTTGAAAGTGGTCATCGATTTGGCGATTTTGATAACCCGGTTTAATTCAGCAGTATTTTGATAAGTAGTTTTAACTCTAACCCTAATTTCGTAAATATTTTTTTATTTAACATTATATTGGAAAAAAACTCGAAAAATGAGAGGGGCACGATATTATATTGAAAAAGAAAATTTGGCAATCGATATTAAAAAAGGGAAATGAAAGGACAGTAGTTGGAAATAAATTTGGCAGAAAAAGTTGGATTTGTACGTCCAAATAATTGAGTATATATAAAGCGTTAGAAAGCTAGTTTCCCATAAAGGAGGAAAAGAAGGAAGGGCGAGAGGCAGAGAAAAAGAGCATCACAAAAGAAAGGGTGCGGCCGGCCGGAACAGCATATACATACATAGATATAAAAGCAAGCAAGAATTGATGCAGGGAATAGGAAAGAGGAAAGGCGGAAGGTAGAAATGATGGGCGGATGTGTAAAGGGCGGGCGGAGCTGAGCAGAAACAGAGTAGGTAGGTAGCAGCTGGAAGGCGGGGAAATGGCAAAAACGACATCAAAAAAGGATAATAGCAGTGCCGGCGGCGGCGCCGTTGGTAAAAAAGTGAAGCGGACGCGAAAAAGCGTAGCGAGAGAGTCTCCTCCGCAGCGCAGCTCCGCTTATAGAGGTGTCACCAGGTACGTGGGTACGGATGCCGGAATGGATCCGATCGACAACCGGCCAAGGGACCGCTCATATATAATTATTACTAACTAATTGATGGATTAATTATATTGATGATCAGGCACCGTTGGACGGGGCGATATGAAGCTCATTTATGGGACAAGAACTGCTGGAATGAAGCACAGAGTAAGAAAGGAAGACAAGGTACGTACGTACGTACGTAATTACTACTGTAGTACGTAATAATTACACTCATTTCTAGATTCATCATCGATCTCATGCCGCGGCATCGTCCATCCTTGATCATCTTAGCGAGCTTTCGAACTATATACTTACGTACTGTATTGATTAAGCACGTACCTTCGGGGTCGCGCGCGGCCATTATCATGCATTATTATATATTCTCAGTTTTACGACTATGCATAATTATTAAATTAATTAGTTGCAGTATAGTTGAGCGAGCTATATGCGCGCTGTATGCATGTATATACAGATATATATATATATATATATATATATATATATATATATATATATATATATATATATATATATATATATATATATATATATATATATATATATATATATATATATATAGCTACGTACATATATACTTATTCGATCAACCACGCAACGTATGTATGTGTATACGGATTGGAGTATCAATTAATTGATTGATTCGTTTTTTTTTTTCGTTTCCGCCCTGCGCGCTTGCTTTCATTTGCCCGCCCGCCGTTGATGTTACTAAACGTACGTACATACGCTGATGGATGCCTTGAAAATGCAGTATATTTAGGTAAGTACCACGTCCTGGCCTTGTCGATCACAATTGAAAATTTATTACCGAGTTTTCCGTAGTACGGAGTATATGAATAAAATTAATTAATTAAATATGGCCGGGTCGGGGTGGCGTGGCCTGGTAATTGACGGAATTGGGCGGGCTCATGCAGGCGCGTATGATGAAGAAGAAGCAGCAGCACATGCATATGACTTGGCAGCATTGAAGTATTGGGGACAACATACCATTCTTAATTTCCCGGTACGTACAAAGTATATACTATCATTTCTTCTTTAATTCTTTCAAGAGTTTGACTTTCAACGTTCGACAATGAACAACTTTGACTGTAATTATATTTAATTATGTATTAGTAAACATTATAAAAGATTGATATTTTGGAAATTCACATTGATAGGAATTCAATAACATTTTATACATAATAATTTGATTATATATATTAGTAGAAAATCGTGGTCAAAGTAAGGTCTGTGAATAGTGCAAAAATCACTGAAATACACACGTACGTATACATATCCACAATAATATTACTATTTCCTGCATGTTAATTAACCCCAATTCATTCCCAATTTCTACTTATTCAATGCCCGCATGTAGCTTGATGCTTATGAGAAAGAGATACACGAGATGGAAGGGCAGTCCAAAGAAGAGTATATTGGTTCTTTGAGAAGGTACGTACATACTATTTGTCTATTTATTTCAATTCTTCCCTGTCCGCCCCAATTAATTCAACTAGGTACTATATAGTACGTAGTATAATAATACTCTTCTCCATCTCGGATTAATTAATTTTCACTTTCCTTTCCGAGACATCTGGTATAAAAGACCATTTTAAGATCTAACTAACACAATTAAGTTACCGTTCTGATTTGCAGCACAACTGCATGAGGTAGACCGGATAACGGTGTCAATTCATATAATCCCCAATATAACCAATTAAGCATATCAGTAGATCTAGCTGCACCATAGCCAAAATTTCATGCAACTATATATACGTGACTCTGAGTTCCGTACGTATTATTTTAGTGGAGAGTCCATTAGAATAATTAATATGATGTCATAACTTCATAAGAGAGGTTCCATAAAACTACTCGGCCTCAACGTAACTGTACCGGCCACACGGGCCACCGCAACGCCTTTTGTTTCACTTTTACTTTCTGGTAGATTCTATGTTATCCATAAGATACTATACCTTTGTCCACATGGACCAATGAGAATGTAGCAGTTGAATTATTTAAATCTAAATTAAAAATGATAAAGTGGTGTGGTCCAATCAAATTGAAAATTGAAAAGAAAGATTGATGGATCCATATGATAGAGCTAGAGGGAATTTATATATAGAGAAGTTTTTAATGATAGGATTATTGCTAATCTTATTAGCATGCATTACGTAGCTCATAATTATTTGTATATACTACGTATGTGTTATTGATGTTAGGTACTTTCGAAAAGCTAATTAAGGATATGTATGTTATTTGTGACACCAACCATATAGTGCATGCATCTATATGCAGAAAGAGCAGTGGATTTTCCAGAGGTGTTTCAAAATATCGCGGTGTAGCAAGGTAATGTGTCAATCATGCTAGCTTCATGTACATATTTTTATACGCACTATTCTACCTGCGCGCTAAATTTTCCGTGCACGGATTTTTTTTCTTTTCATTTTACGAATTTTCCATGTCGATAATTTTTTTGTTTATGACAGAGACAAAAAAAACCGTACTCCGTATATGTGGAAAGCAAACAAAATGAAATCACTTTTCATTTGAATCAACGAATTTGTGATTCCTGCTATATCTCTCTTGTTTGTACAAAACTCAACCATGCAATTTAGGGAAAGTGTTAACAGAAAAAAGGAGTATAATTTTAGATGTCAGGGGAAACTAATTAGGCCGCCCCGACCCACCTCAGATTTAAAAATGTGTATATATATAATGTAAATTTATGTGTAATTTTTTTTCAAAAAATATTCTTTAATGGGCCTCAGCTCTAGATTGATCAGTGGGTGAATCCACATCATATCATACTCCGTATCAAGTAGAGTAAAGAGTAACATGCATATATAGTGGGATGCGATACGTATATCAGAATTAGGTTGAAAAACGCTAATTAAATAAGTGGTTGTATAGTAGGTAGGTGCTAGATGAGATTAATTATATATATATACGGGTGAGTATTAGATTGGGGCGGGCGGCCCCGCCCTTTAACAGTAGATTTCAATGTTGTTGGTATATACCTGACCTGCATGCACAAGTTGTTGGGAGCTGATCGAGCCGGGGAAATACGTACTATACTATACGCAATTAAATGAACCTTGAAAATGTGGGTGGCCAAAACTCCTTTTTGTCAAACACAATTAATTAGGCATGACCTCATCCATTTAATTTGCATTCATTTAATTTCTACTGTAGTAGTTAATTAATTACTCTTACTCCGTACGTATTAGATAGTATATTGTTACTTGTTTCTAAAATTGATTTACCGGCCACATTATCATTGAAATTAAACGTATAGTGCGTACGTGTAGCAGGCACCATCACAATGGACGATGGGAAGCTCGCATTGGAAGGGTCTTTGGCAATAAATATTTATATCTTGGAACTTATGGTACAAACCCAAACCTAATAACGTACTACAGTAATTCATAAAGTTTATTTTTGCATTCTCCCATTGCATCTTATTTCAAAACACACATATATAACCATTTTTATTACTCTAATATACCAAGCTAAGTACATACTTGGTAGATCGAAACATGCATGATTGTTTGATATATACTACCAGAGATAATAGAGTTGGGGTTGATAGGGGAGCAAGTAAGCTAAGGCTAAGCAAAAGTATGTGTGTGTGTTCCGATTCAATCATATGACTCTCGATCGCTTGGTAAACGGTAAATTAAATATTGAAGTATTTATAAAATGACGATGAAAAGAAATTCAATTCAGTTCCGAATATATATATATAGTCACTTTTTTTTTCTAAAGTAAAAAACCATTGATCATAATACGACCGAGAGGGCAGGGAAGTGAAATACACGTACTGTATGTAGTATATAAAAGCTAGCTAACTTAATTATTTAGGGTAAACTATGAATGTATTTATTTTTCTGTACACACATTATACGTACTATATATTCCTTCGTTCTCTTTTAATTGCTACAGTTCACTTTCCACGTTTGTCAACGCACAAATTTGACCATTAATATCTTTTATTTAAAAAAATTAAAAAATTAGATTTTGAAAATTTATAATGAGAGGAATTTAACAATTTTTTTTTTAAATTTAATTTATAATACATTAATAAATAAAATAGAGTCAAAGTAGAACATATGAATAGTGCAAAAAGATTAATGTTGCATTTAAAAGAAAACGGATGTATTTATATTCGTGTATTGTGCACACACATTTTAGGACACAAAAATTTTCAACAATCTCTAGTGTTAACCTACTGTGGTGACAACTCCGATACCCATTTAAAAAATGGGGTACCGTACCTACCACTAACTTGATTGGTTCAAATCATTACATCATTTTTAATTTAGATTTAAATAATTCAACTACTACATCATTCTTATTGGCCGATGTGGACAAAGGTATAGTACCTTAAGGGTACCGTAGAATCTACCGCCTACCGTTTTCAAAGGACGACTAACTAATATAGTAATGATGATACTCGATAGATCTCTAATTTGTTTGCCTACCCAAACTGCCTTTATAGTTTTTTATTTAAACATAGGACCGGCCTTATATCTAATTCCAAACATATACTTACTCCATATTTTATTACTTTCTCGGGACATTTAATTAATTATAGGTAGATTCTATGCTACCCATAAGGTACAATACTTTTGTCCACATGGACCAATGAAAATGTAGCAGTTGAATTATTTAAATATAAATTAAAAATTATAAAGTGGTGTGGTCCAATCAAATGAATGATAGGTACGGTACCCCATTTTTTAGAAAGGTACCGGAGTTGTCACCTTAATTATATTGGCTCCCTAACTGATCTTGTAGTGTATGTGCTATTAATGGGAGACATGCACGGCAGGTGCGGTCATCAACCCACATTTACCCATCCACAAATGTTTTATTGAAATTTTGTAAGCATGTTCTCCATAGAGGATAGACTATGTCTACCAAAATTTAATTTAAAATTTAATCGAAAAGTCAAATAAATAAATCATTAAAAATTGTACAGTTATATATATATATATAATGCAGTTTTATACGGAGTAATTCTATCTAAATTAACTGGTGTCAAAATAATGTTAGCTTTGTATTTTGTTTGCATGGCACGTCATTCAGTAAGTAAGGTAGTTTAGAGTTTTCAAATTTGTAACCCGTAGTAGTCAGTTATATGTCCACAAAAGATTAAACAGCTCAAAATATTACGTAGTAAATTATTTTACTTGCCCAAAATAAAGTGTTCAATGGATTTCAACTCTGATCAATAGGTGTGCGTAGTTTTCTTTCTTCTTCAATTCCTCCTCATATGTTCTCATTCATTATTTTCCCCTTTTTGACGATTTGATTTTGATTTTCTTCCTTTTTACTCTCACCGGTCCCAAATGAAATTCACACTTTGACTTCACACAAATTAAGGAAATAAATTTGACTTTACTGTAGAGTACACTGTTGTGACACTGTTTGGCACTGTTTGGCACTGTTTTGATGTAGATAGTTTGCCAAATAAGGAAGGGGGAAGAAGTGTGAAGTTTATTTTGGACCTACCCAAAAAGGAAAGTGTGAATTTCATTTGGGACCAGAGGGAATATATTTTTATTACTTTGTCATTTTTTTAACACTGTGAAGTTGTTTTTAAAAATATGATGTAATGGTTTTTGATTTGAAAACATTTTTCTTCTTTTGTGATTTTACTATCTTTTGCTCACATTTCAATCTGCGATGCCCATAATTTAACGTTAAAAGCATTGCACTTAAAAAAGGATTAATTATATAAAAAAAATGTCACAGTGCATTTTTAGGCTTTAGATCAATTCGACGGATAAACAAAATGAATTTGTCTTTTAGGATTGAGGTGGAGTTTGTATTTGATGACTCAACCATATATGTGCGGGGGGTTGGGAGAAAGTTCGTGCGTACGTGATTTCCTCATGAATTAATTATTACTCCCTATTTAATTCATTACCTAATGAATTACTTGTATATGTTTCCCAATAACAAATGAAATGTATGACGTGGCATTGAATTACATACAGCTACTCAAGAGGAAGCTGCCACGGCTTATGACATGGCAGCCATAGAGTACCGCGGGCTTAACGCTGTTACCAACTTTGACCTCAGCCGTTACATCAACTGCCTAGCCCCGGACCAAAATTCCAACCCTCGCAGTGACGGCGTAAGTCAAGATGATGAGCCGCTGCCCAGCCAAAAAGTTGGGTTGATCGGCTTCCTCCACCAACAAAGCTCCCCGGAAACTGCCTCTCCCCCGTCATGCCTCCTCCCTTCCAACTCTGTAGGGACACCGCCGCCTGAGAATTGTCCGCCAACGCCACCCCCACCAAGGCGGAGCTTCCCGGACGACATACAAACATATTTTGACTGCCACGAATTGAGTGGCTTCGCCGAGGAACACGACATCATTTTTGGCGACCTAAACACGTTTGAATCGTCTATTTTCCAATGTGTACTTGATGAGTAGCATACATTCATGCGTGCACCATCTCTCCTGCTTCCATCTCCGTTCTACTCGTATTTTTTTTATAGTTACGCACGTTATTTGTTTGGTAATTTAGAAAGAAATAATAAAATAGAGTACACCCTCCGTTCCAATTGAATTACGACTCATCTTTTGTATCAAACATAGTCATTTAATTCACTTAATTAAGATATCAATACCAATTCTTTATTAAATTATAACTTCAATTTTGTAACTTTGCAGACATTTTAATATAGTTTTCGAATATGTGATTTTCAATTGTTAAAATTGAATTAATTATCAATAGAGGATTAAACGTTAACATTGATTGACAAAAATGTTGAATTTCACCTATAATGTAGTATAATGGAATATAATACGATGACTATATATAATATCGGGATTTTCACCTATATATGCGAGGACTCAATTGAAAAACACAAGAATTGTGCATTTATGTTAGAATGTAAACTTGATTTTGGGCTAAGTTAATAATTGATGTTTGTTGTAATGGACAAAGCCCAAAATAATTAGGAAAGCGTCCAATCCACCACTTCCATCTGTCTGCTGTCCAAAGCTTCAACTGAACAGAACAACCTATGGCACAGACGTCTCTCCCATCTGAACTTCAAACATCTATCAACCTTGTCCTCCAAGAAACTTGTCAAGGGGCTTCCTCTGCTAAAGTCTTCCGCTGAAAATCATTGTAGTGCCTGCAAAATGGGCAAAATGACGCGAAGCTCCCACAAGTCAAAAAACGAACCTTCATCTACACATCAGTTGCAGCTAATACACATGGATCTGTGTGGACCTATGAGAGTACAAAGCATCAACGGTCGCAAATACACTCTGGTGATAGTTGATGACTTCTCTAGGTATACATGGACAAAATTTCTCCGTTCAAAAGACGAGGCTGCAGAAAACATTATGACCTTTATCAGAACGATCCAGAAACTGCTACAGCACAGTGTTCGAATTGTTAGAACTGACAACGGTACCGAATTCAAAAATCAGGCTCTCACTGAGTTCTATGAATCACTCGGTATCACTCAGCAATTTGCAGCAGCTAAAACTCCCCAACAGAACGGAGTTGTTGAGAGAAAGAACAGAACCCTTGTTGAAGCAGCACGTACCATGCTAATCCAATCCAGACTGCCTCACTTCATGTGGGCAGAGGCAATTAATACTGCGTGCTTCACTCAGAACAGAACATCAATCCACAAACGCTTCGACAAGACTCCATATGAGATCCTATTCAACAAAACTCCTGATATCTCCTTCTTCAAGGTTTTTGGCTGCAAGTGCTTCATACTAAATGATCGGACAGAGAGAAGTAAGCTGGATCCCAAAACCAGAGAAGACGTGTTCATTGGCTACTCACTGCAATCCAAAGCTTACAAAGTCTATCTCAGAGACAAGCGGACTGTCATCGAGAGTGTAAATGTTACATTCTATGAAATGGCAGACTTTGCAATCGAACATCTCCAGACCGATCCATCAACTGCTGTACCAGTAGCTTCTGATAAAGCTGAACCAAACACCGAACACGACGATGTGATTCTCGACTCTCTCTTTAGAAACTTCTACGAGAAATCACAACCTCCACCTCCTGCATACACTCCAGAGTCAACATCAACTCCAACAGCAGAAATTCCGCTCCTCACAGGACCAGACGATGTACCATCCACACCCTCAACCCCTCAAACCAATCCCAGAGGTGTGGATGATCACGGCTTTGCTATAAGTCCGGAATTATCTCCATTACACACCACAGCTGATCCAGAGCCTTCAACCACATATCAGGACTCCGATCAACCAATAATTACTCCGACTCCTCTAGCTCATGAGAGGAAGTGGACGAGAGCACATCCCGCTGAACAAATAATAGGTGATCCAAGTCAAGGTGTGCGAACAAGATCAGCAACAATGAATGAATGCCACTTCGCATGCTTCTTAAGCCAGTCAGAACCATCAAAAGTCTCAGAAGCACTACTTGATCCAGATTGGGTGATTGCGATGCAAGATGAACTCAATCAGTTTGACAGACTGGATGTATGGTCACTGGTACCCAGGCCTCAGAGAAAGACAATCATTGGTACGAAGTGGGTATTCAAGAATAAAAGGGATGAAGAAGGCACAGTCGTAAGAAACAAGGCAAGGCTGGTCGCAAAGGGATATAATCAACAGGAAGGCATAGACTACGATGAAACGTTTGCACCCGTAGCTAGAATTGAAGCAATCCGCCTCTTTCTTGCATACGCGGCGCACAAAAACTTCACCGTCTTCCAAATGGACGTAAAAACAACATTTCTTAATGGGACTTTAGAAGAAGTCTATGTAGCTCAACCTGAAGGATTTGTAGATCCAAAATTCCCAGACCATGTCTACAAGCTCAAGAAAGCTCTCTATGGGTTGAAACAGGCACCCAGAGCTTGGTACGATGCCTTGACTGAATTTTTGATCGACTCAGGTTTCTCAAAAGGAAAGATCGATACTACTTTGTTTATCAAGCGACAGAAGTCTGACATCATCCTGATTCAGATCTATGTTGATGACATCATCTTTGCCTCTTCAAATCCGCGCCTGTGCCAACACTTTGAGAAACTGATGAAAACCAAGTTCGAGATGAGCATGATGGGCGAACTTAACTTCTTCTTAGGTCTGCAAGTAAGACAACTCTCTGATGACATTTTCATCAATCAGTCCAAATACATTCTGGATATGCTAAAGAGATTCAACATAGAAGGCAAATCTTCCATGACGACCCCCATATCCCCAAACAACAAACTGGACTCAGACCCCTCCGGGAAGCCAGTTGATGCTACAAACTACCGGGCCATCATTGGATCTTTACTATATCTCACGTCAAGCAGGCCTGACATTGTCTTCTCCACATGCTTATGTGCACGCTTTCAGGCAAATCCGAAGGAATCCCATCTGACCGCTGTTCGAAGAATTCTGAGATACCTCAAAGGCACTGTGAATCTAGGCCTTTGGTATCCCAAGCACTCAGGTTTTGACCTAGTCGGATACTCGGATGCTGACTTTGCTGGTTGCCGGATGGACCGCAAAAGCACATCGGGAGCCGTCCAATTCTTGGGCGATAAGTTAGTCTGCTGGTCTTCCAAGAAACAGAACTGTGTGTCAACATCTACGGCCGAGGCAGAATACGTCGCGGCTGCTAGCTGTTGTTCACAAATATTATGGATGAAGACCCAGCTAAAGGACTACGGTTACACTTTCCGCCATATCCCGATCTACAGTGACTCACAGAGCGCCATCGCCATCACCAGCAACCCAGTTCATCACTCCCGCACCAAACACATCGACCTGCGCTATCATTTCATCAAGGATCACGTGGAGAAAGGAGATATAGATATGTATTTTGTAAGCTCAGAGCTTCAACTGGCTGACTTGTTCACTAAGGCATTGGATGAAAAAAGATTCCAGTTCCTGGTCTCCAAGTTGGGCATGTTGAACCTCGAGCCCGTTTAACTTTTGTCTCCACTGATCTGAAAAGTGTGTGTGTGTGTGGGACTTGTAAAAAGTGTGTGTACGTGTGATCTGTAAATAGTGTGTGTGCGTTGCATGTGTTGAGGGGGAGAAAACCAGAAAAATAACAAAAAATAGTGTGTGTGCGTTGCATGTGTTGAGTGGGTGAAAAATAAAAAAGAACAAAAAATAGTGTGTGTGCGTTGCATTTGTACATATTGTTCATTGCATCTTTTTGAGGGGGAGAAAATTTTCACTGTTTGAGGGGGAGCTAATTCTCATTAATTGAGGGGGAGCTAATTTTCACTTATTAAGGGGGAGCTCTCTAATTTTACTGGTTTGGGCCTCGAAAATCTTTTAAAAGGGCACTGTGTGCCAGCCCAATATTTCGGGCTAAATTGTTAAAAAGGAGGTCCAAAATCTTCTCGCATATATAAGCCCTCGTAAAACCTTTCATCCTTATGCTTCTCAAAATTTTTCGCAAAGATCCGAACGTTTTGCTTCTCAGAGCTCCTGCCGTTTCTCCTTCTTCTTCTCCTCAGACCGATTTCGCAAAACTCCATCTCCCGATTACCATTCACAACTACCTAGGTAGTTCTTCGTTCGAAATCTCATTCATCAACATCCTTCGAATTCGAAATTATAATCTTCAACATCGTTCGAAAACGATCATTCTCGCAAATCGATCAATTTTTTCAAAATCAACATAAAAAGGTTTTTGTTAGACTTTAGGTCGAAATCGCTTGTTATTGTTTGTTATATCGTTGTTTTTGCAGGTGGAAAATTTCTTCAAAATTCGTCGGTTCATCTTCTCGAAATCAAGATCTCGAGATGGGCATCTCGACATCTTGATCTCGAGATTTGAATCTCGAAATCAAGATCTCGAGATCTACATCTCGACATCTTGATCTCGAGATTTGAATCTCGAAATCAAGATCTCGAGATCTGCATCTCGACATCTTGATCTCGAGATTTGAATCTCGAAATCAAGATCTCGAGATCTGCATCTCGACATCTTGATCTCGAGATTTGAATCTCGAAATCAAGATCTCGAGATTTGGATCTCGAAATCATGATCTTGAGATACAGATCTCGAAATTTGGACTTAGTAATTTTTTTTTTCAAAATTCCACCTGCATAAACTTATCTGAAAACTGCAAATCAAACTCTTTCAATCAAATCAAACAGTTGAATTTCATATGCTGACCTCCTGCTTCTATAGTTTAAAATGGCAGGAAACACTAAAGCACAGATCGATGATGCCATCTACTCCCAAGAAAAATGGATCAAGGTGCTGGACAACAATTTCCAGCTAGACCTTGCGGTGTTCAAATGCCAGAACCCGATCATTCCGGCCATAATGAAAGGTCACTATCTCTGGCCTGCACTTCACAACTCAAAACCGGTGCCAGAGATATACCTACAACAGTTCTGGGGGCATATGCATACGGATTCGCTGAAGGATCGTTCAAAAATAAAGACCAAGCTAAACGGCATGCGGGTGATTCTAACACCATCTACTCTACGGGCTATGACGGGCACTTTGTCACGGTGCGTCAAAATAATTTTCAATACTAACACTTATACGTAGTATAGCGTAGTAGAGTTCGTATCCACAGGGAAAGGAATAATTCTCTTTTTATGATACTTAGTAAATAAAAAGGGGGATTTGGATTGAGTGATTTAATTCAATTAAGAACTAAGATGAACAACCTATAAGTGTTTAATTCAAAGATAAAAAGGAAT